TGCTGTCACTTAGGTTTTGACTTTTGATAAATGAACGGTCGCTTTCAATTGAACAGACATCATACGCATGCTTTTAAAATTGCACCATGATACTAACGCACCACTACATGATAATCGTGTTTGATATTTATCAATACTCTATCTACTGCACTCGATGGAAGATAAAATACATAATATCAAGATAAAAGCATCAATAAGTGGGTCAAGATCGAGAGATACGATGATCACGGTGCGTAAACATAAAGTTAACCGTTATATTGTCGATGTTTATTGATTATTACCATTCAGAATGTTATAATGGTTTCCAGTAATTAAATTCACATATATGTTTATTTCAAACTGTCAATCATTCTGTTTGAATTTTGACCGCTCACTATAACGATTCGTGGCGTGGCGTGGTAAAATACGGAGCCAAACAGCCAACTGAAAAACAATTACTTGACGAAACTTTAGAGATAGCATCTAATTTTGTTTTGGATCTTCGATGATTAATGTTACAAATAAACGCTAATATAAATTTACGAGCGAAGGTAAACACATCATTCATCAGATCAGACAAGAGGTTTAACGGTACGCATTGTGTGATAATGGTCTTTACTTGCTTTTATTTGCGCCCATTACTTTTTGATGCCCCACTATCTAAACGGCGGAAGAGGTTCCGTTGAACGTGGGAGCTTCTCATTGAGGACCGACTACCATTGTTGTCGCATTTTACAAATTTTATCGCCTAAAATCAACAGTACTTATGCATGAATAAGTATACTTTATTTACCCGGATAAATTTTTGACGTGTTTTTATATCTACTGAAAAAAGTTAAGTATACATTATTGACTTTATCTTTGTTGTGTGTTAGTAAAATAAGGAAAACATCTCCCATTGTATCTAGAGGATGATTATAGTGATACTAGCAAACCAGTGAACCAAATGTTCACCAAAACCTGATTTCTCGAAAACCGGAAGTGCTACGTTACTCAAATCCGGTTTGTAGTCTTATCAGACTATTCTTAACTTATAACTTAAATATTCTCTTTATCTATCTCTTACGGTTTGGCCGTTGAAACAGCACCACAGACGGACGGACGGACTTAGATAATTTTACTTAGTTAAATATGAGCTTAATTCTGTAATTTCTAACATATTAACAAAAAATTTTTGAAAACAGTGTTTCATATTATTTCTCAATAGAACATAAGTCACTTATAATTTCTTGATTACGTTATGTTTTTAAGTATTTGTTTAGGACATGAAAAGTTTTCAGGTTTCATAATCCATTTTGATTTTTGCTATCACAATGTGAAAACCTTTCCACGATTTTGCTGTTGTTAATAAACTTTGCATCAAAATATACCAGTGCAGGTATATCACCTCATTTAGCCTTTACTACCGTTACAGGCGATATAAAAGCCATTTACGAGCCTCGTTTAAGCTCATAGCTATTCACCTTGATACCATACGATCAAACATCGATCAAAGAACATATTTTTTCTGTAAAATGCTGTTTCGTGGCATTGCTATCATCCTCGTAATCTGCGATGCTTCTCATTTCATACTACTCTATCCGTTTCAATTTTAATGAACGCAAATATAGCGTTTAGAAGAATACGTTTCAATCGCGCGCGCACTGAATGTGAGCGAAAGAGTGTTTTTATGGTGTCGGGTATCGCGATAGTTTACCGGAACAAGCTCGCACGTAATTTAAGTGGAGCGATGTATTGCGGCCGCACGATGAGACGCGAAACCATGTCGGCGCGCGAATCCCGTTGGGGCGGACACCATTACCGCCCACCGCACCGCGCACGCGTTGTAAAACCGAACCCGCCATCACCGGCATGGAGATGTCGCTCGCAGATAACACTCGGCGGACACTTGAAGACAGTAAAAAACCGACGCTCCCGCAACACGGTTTATCTTCCTAATCGGAAGCTCACGCAGCGAATATGCAATTATGTGTTCTCGGCCGCGCCACACGAGCCGTCATCATATTTACGGCACTGTCTCCCCACATCTGCATGCAAGGTGGCTATCGCGCGACCCCGCAAGTTTCTAAACAACACGCGTAAAAGAAACAAGATTATCGTAAAGTGTTAGGCGGCAGCTTTTACCGGGTTTTTTTTATGATACAAACATGTTAATGCTATGTCATGGCTACTTTTAACTATTCTAGTTCAGTATTGTTCGTAATACCAAAGTAGTGTTCTCGGTTTTCTCTCTAATCGTTTGGATTACTAAGCTTAAAATCTCGCTTTTCTCTACTTTCGTTAACACTAAGTTGTTTTTTTTGTATGTAACTTAATCTAAATATATTTGAATTCCTGGTGACCCATATGTATGAGGTGGATTGTTAATAAGAACGTGTCCGATAAAACTGTCGATCGGCAACTTTGATCAGCTGTAGCGAATTAATAGTCTACATAGCTTCATCTATCAATTCAGAGGCATTCCGTAGCCAACACTGTGATGGACATGATACGTCCGGTAAGTAATAGTTATTGTGCGTACATATAATTAGTATTACACTAAGAATGAAACTCAAATGTTAGCAATTAAGTTCATCAGGTAAAGCTAATTGTTATAATAATGATCAAAAGTTCGACGGCAAAGCTCTCTGCCGTTAATGTCACTCGATCTTTTCACCCGACGTTAAGTCTACTTCATAGGACTACGTGCAATCAACAAAACTATAACTTTAACCGTCAAGTTACTACCGCACAGATTAGTAACTAACATCCGTTTCAGTTTGCAATTATGCGTTTACAAATAATGTAAGTCCATAATTCCCTGTTACCTTTATAGTGCGCTCCGTAAAATTATAACATATAACGACAGCTAATCGTGCAGATCACTTAAGATAGCTAAAGTAAATATGTGCGTTACTTATGTTGCTCAGTCGTAGAACGATGTACAGGCACTGATTGCCGGACCATATACCATAATGAGAGGGTTAAAGGTAAGATGTTATCGGCCGCCCGATCTGTGCAGGTCGTCTGCTATCCATTGTCAATTAAAGGCCGCTGGCTAACATCGCGACCGCCTTTTGCTTGTTCTATAGTCTCTACAAGGATTGCTTCCCGATGCATAGGTACCCTGCGCCTCGGGGTGGATATTACTCGGACATTTCCTGTATTACTTCTAGGCATGCTCGCTTTGAACTAATCTTTATTCCGAGTGTTCGCTAAATTAACATAAAATCTATTAAGATTTGAATCGAAATCAATGTTTGATTTTATTGTTGGTTCATCAGCTAACTGTCTGTCCAAGCTATACGTTACATTTTACGTGGTTTGTTTTATAAAGTGCCTTTACTGTAAGTGCTAAAAATGAAAATAACTTTTATTTATCACAGCGGTCCTGATGTTCGTATTGAATGGAATTAATAGCATCAATTGGTGCAAAAGTAATAAAACAGCTGTAAATCATTTCACCAAAAATTTTTATAATCGATAATATGAAAGTCACTTATTATTCAATTGGCTGTAGAAAATTATATATGTAATTCTAAATTATCATACTTTACTCACATTTTTACTACCGAACCATCCGGCTTGGATTCTATGGTGCCTATTAACATATTTTAGGAAGTAGGTCGTATGCAACAAAAATTCCGGAGTATTAAATTGATAAAAATGATCTCTTGATCTTGAGCCATCCATCTTTTAGTGTTGCCCATTAATCATGTAGGCACTGCTAATTCTATAACGTTTCTACCAAATTGCCCTTATAAATGTGATGTTATACCCCTCATCTATTACCGTAACGCGTTTGGTGAACGTCGGCTTTCTTCATAATCGCATCATTGAGGGTCATAACCTGAACTATGTGGTAAACGTTTTCACCAATCCCGTCAAGGAACGAGAATAATTCGAACTATTCCTTATGTCTAACGAGAGCTCAGGAGCCATGATACCTATGTTTCGTACGTGCCTTCTATAAATTATGAACATTTACTTCAAAAGTTTAAGTCTCAGTTATAGGGGTTATAACTATATTTTGTCATATATGTATTGACAAGACCAGTTTTATAAACTAAAAAGGTTAAATACCATGCTAAGATGAAAGAATGGATTTTAAGTTTTCGACACTAAAAATTGCTTTGTAAGGTTGGGAAACGGTAAAAATAACAGGATGACAGTACAGGAAAACCGGTCGACTGCATTTTGTAAGTTGAGGAGCTCAAAATGCACGAACAAAAAAGACGAGGCTGGGATCGAGCATGCGGTACATTGTATTCGCCACTAATTTCGGGTAGCGGTACAGTTGCTACAAATTGGCAGCTAATTTTTATTACAATGTATGTGGTACGAAAATCTTTTCCCGTTTCTTTTTTGTTAAAGTGTCCAAACAAAATCTCATCGCTTATTAAGTTGTCTGCGCTAATGTTTTACTCTATGTATAACAACTCAAAGTATATTTTTCACGTGCAACGATACGCTTACATCACTTACATGTCGTAGCATAACCGATTCCGTGATATCCGTGCATCAATTTTGATAATGAACGGTGCATTAAAGATAATATACGCTCACTTCCCTAATTATTTTGCGAGTCACTACTCCACACATTTTATATGTACCAAAAAAAAAATTAACTGTACATACGTTTGCACTTCGTTGAGTTTGAGGTCGTTACTACTGCGACACTGTTCTTAGATAATTTGACAGTATTACGATATTGTATTTGACTTGAAACAGTTTTTCATTGAGCCCCCGTTTTCACATAGCGTTTGTTCGTTCGTAAAGACATAATTGCAAGTTCTTTTGTTTTAAAACTGTGTTATTAGGTGTATTAATTTAAACAATTATCATTATAGACTCTAGATTTTGTAATATGGGCAATAAGAGGTCGCTGAACATTCCCTCACTCGAGTGGAGAGCGTGTTATTTTCCGTACATTTGCTCTAAGTGCTTCCTCAACGTCTAATAAGACATAATGACGTGTTATTTCTGAAGATTCACGAATTCCGATCGCAGGAAAGTAAGGTGCGTCGCGTCGGGTCACTGACCTGTGGGTTCCAGAACCGCTACCCGCAACCGCCGTCGTTCTGAAATCAAAAAGAAAAAGTACAATTGTTAATTATGCAATTTACATATAAGCGTATCACAATTATGACATACTGAATTATAGGCAGCTCACTAGTAATCACATAGCTGGTAGATAATTCTGCAGGGGCATACACACGCTCGTGATTCTCTCATTGAGGAACCATGCAACTTCCCTGTATTGGCTTGTAATTACGACTGTTTTAACCTTAAGACTTCCTAGGAATGCACACAAAAGCTTTGTTGTATATTTGAATGGCAACTGAAGCTATTAATGTTTTAATAGGTATAGGGATGATGGGGAAATTACAGTTTACATATAACAAAACCAAGAAAGTCTTGTCAGATACAGTAATAAATCAATGTTAGCTTATCTTTTCCGTGCTTAGTTTTCTGTAATAAATTGATCGAGGGAAAAGTCTTGTCGTATTTTATATATAAAGTTGTTATAGAGCAGATTGTTTTTTGAATCCAGAGCGGAGCATAGTGAGGGATTCTTGTCGATGTATCGAATGAAGGTGATAAATGTAGAGATTGAATACCCTACATTTATCAACTTCTATGAGAAAATAAGTAAATGCAACTACGAATATGTAAGAAAAGTACGTTTATTTATTACCGTACAAGAACAACAAGACAATCTTGAAAAAAGGCCAAAAACACATTTTCTGAAAAAGATTTCACCTTTCTTGCATTATCTTATCTAATGATGGAAATTTCATATGCTTTTATATATTGTTAGCGGGATTTTGTGGGTAAAAGACTGTCATTTTTGCATACCTTCATTCATACTACTCGACGAACACAATCTATCTTCTATAATATAAAAATGAATCACTGAATGTGTTGATAAGCGCAAATTTCCGATTTCGATAATTCTTTTTTAGAATATTCCTTGAGGTACGAGGATGGTTCTCCGCGGAGAAAAAATTAAAATAATTGCCTGAAAAAGTACAAACGAAATAAACTAATGCGCAAGTTTGTTTGGAAACTTGTTGTAAAAGGGTTTTTGTAATTCGATACTAGCACTTGAAAATTATAAGATAGTATATTTCGCCCTTATGCTCAGTATTTAGTTAAAAAAATATTTTTATTTTAAAGGAGTGTTTAAGAGTATTTTTTTTAGTATAAAGTTTTTTATTATTATTTATTAATATTTAAAGATTTCAAATCGACGGTTGACAATAAAAATTATAGTCACGATACGTTCTAGGCAATCTGCTTCTTAGTCAATTAGTGTTTTAGGTATTATTGGAGTAGGTACTTATTTCTTTCATCCTAGGCAGTTTGATTTTTAGTCCAAATGATGTGTTAGGCAGCAGTGGCATCTTGCATATCAGGCACTGTGCTCACAACCGATTTATATACCTTAAACCCTTCGAGTACGAAAGTCTTACACTTGATAGGTATTTTTTTTAGGATTTTCACCAACTGAAGAGCGGCACATTATCATGCTATCTCTTCCATGTACCCGTTTGGTTTATACTAAACATGTAAAACCTAATCCTTTGTATTCTTAAGTGGTATGCTAAAAGAGGATGGTTGGTTAAATTAGCATTTAACTGTACTTGCCCTGCCTCGTGTACGACATTCGAATTAATAGGCTTACGTTTTAGAGTAAAAAGTTTCTTAAGATTTTTTTAAATACGTGTTTGTTTCTTTGTAATGGTAGGTAATCTTGGTAATGAATTAGTGCCATTTTTCGATTAAGAGGAAATTTCACCAGGTATCGCCTAATTTTAAAATCAAACATCTCCAAGCTATCGACATTTAAAAACTTGTGGTTGTAAATTAGGCATATCCTTAGCTCCACTAATAAAAAAAATTACCCGTTCCTTCACAGAGGTAATTCATAATGTTTAACAGTAAATCATAAACTATTCCGAGAACAAAGCCACATTATCGTCATATATTAATCATTGCTCCTATGTCAAATTAACTGGCAGTTTACTGTGAGACGACTCAACGCAAAAAACGCGTAGCTTCTTAAAACATAACTTCTATTCTTTTGTTTTTTTATATATACATAAAATATAGTTTCAGCTCCAATTACGGTACAGTAACATTCACAAAAAGCTATTTGTACGCGTCACTTCGTATCGACTGCACGTCACTTATTAAAACACAAGCCACTTATCTCATGCCAACTTAATTTTCTCAATCTGTTCCATTAATCAAATAAACTGTTACGTCACTCAACGCGCGACGGTGTAGTGTACTCTCATCTCATCCCACGCTTGGGTACGTAACGTATGAAAAAAGTTGCCGATCCGTCAGAAACCTTACTTGTGTAGTCGGTGTGATCATTGAACCTTAAAACTTCGACTCCCATCTTTGCTAGTAAAATTATATGTGCTCAGCTCTGTTGCTTGCTCCACAATTGCAATTTGACACCAAACTGTGATTGTGATTTGACCTACCTGTTAAATCACAGGCTAGTTCGAAAATCCCTGATAAATATAACGGTTAAACACAATAAATGGTAACTAAAAAATGGAGCAGGCAAAAAAAAAACGATGTTTTCTAGTGCACTTGAAATATATTAATGAGCAGTACATGTGTATGCATTTATATAATAATAGAATAATATATTAAAAAAAAGAAGTAATACCTACTGTTATCGTTAATAATACCTATGTGATTAATAAAATATCGATACCCTATATAATAATGACCTGAAAATATAATTATCCTTTCACATTATATGTTACCTTCGGTCATTTTAGGAAATCTGGTAGTATTACTCGCACTTAGCACTTTAAGTATACGAGTTAAAAGTAGTAATGTCTTTCAAGTTAATTGTTTAGTTTACTACGTGAAAATAAAGAGAACGCTCTTCAAATTCTAGTGTTTCAGGCATATTTCAGTCATGTTCTGAGTTGTAAATTCTTTCATTCATTTTTTATTACATAATAACTCCGTACAGTTATTATTGTAGAAATTTTTCATAGTTAAAAGTTAACTATCGTTATTAAAGTCAGGCATGACTTCGCAGATTCCCTCAAATGAAGCAAAATCATTATAACCTGTATAATTGCGATACTTAAAAGCGAATTATAAAAGTGTTGTTCTGCGGTCTGTAAGAGATTGCATTAAAATGTGAAATTCTTAGCTGCAGCACTTTTAAGACATGTAATCTATGTTATTTTACGAAGTTCAATACTCTTTATGGTTTTGTAATTGTACTGCCCGAGGGATATTTCATATAATAGAAAAACAAGGATAAATGTAACTACGAAATCGACTGTATGTGTTAACTGCATCTAGATGTAGACTGATGTAGGATCGTCTTTTTTGCTATCCCTCATGCTTATTGGTTTAGGCAGATGGCGATATGTACGTTGTAAGATTTTTTTATGCCTCTTTCTGTTAATATATGCATACATCACGAGAGGCGTTATTTTTAATGCACGTTTATTATCGCGATCGTAGATCGTAGATTAATATACGTCGACTCGAATCATGTAGACGAACACTAAGTTAAACTTAACCAGCGACCATGAATAATGAACTCCTTTAATAAAACTTTTATACGGTCGAGCAATTCTGTACACTCTTTGCTTTATTTTCGACTCGAGAAACTTTCTTACGGATGAAATAGGGCGAATTATTCAACCGTTATTGCATTCGTGCTGATACTGCTTCACGGGTTCGCGAGACCTAATTTTGCGATGTTTTGTCTCGATTACTTTGACGCGTAAATTACGGCGTTTGCGCTTCGGAGGTGCGAAGGTGATGAGGCCGCGTCAGCGCTGGACCATCCTGACGCGCGCTGTCACGATCGGAACCAGATGCGCTCGCGCACATTCATCACTGTCACGCCGAGCGGTATGCTCACGTGAGCCAGCCACTAAGACGAAGTGTTTTTATCACTATTACGTAAAGAAGCCATTACTGCCCCGCCTGAGCCCTTCCGATACACTGTTCTAAAGTAGTTTAATCTCGAGCAGTAAATTCACATCAGATAACAGCAGCTGAACCACGTAGCACATGGATGCTCGTGTTTGAATTCGTGCCTTTGTTTCTCGGTATAATCGAGCGCGTTCCGTTTTAACACATCACTTATGGTGCGGAACTGCAATACGAAGCCACCATGAGCGAATCTCGGGCCATAAATAAACCCTTTGTCATTTAAGTATTCTGTTCCTAGCGAGATATATTGCTCACTCAATAGTACTCTGCGGTTGGTTACCTTTCAGGTCTGACCTGTCGTATAAAACGATTAGTTTTCCAATATCCTTCCATTTTAAGACCTGTTTGAGTATGAAGTCAGGTCAACCACCTGTAAATATTGATTTATCTCGCTAAGGCATGCGCCTATGCATACAATGCGTGTTTGTGCCATGGCCCGAGTACTTCTTTTGCATTAGTACTGTATAAGCTATAAGTAATGTACATATAAAGCATATAATGCAACATTAATAGGAGTATTTCACAACAGTTTTACTTCGCAAATATTACTTTAATCGTGTTTGTTTTTATTTCAGTAATTTAGTTGTTATTCTTGAATTTGCTAATAAAACACTTGTTATAGATATCGAAGCGTAGAGTAGCTTTTGTTATGTTATTTTGAGGATCACGATTGCAAATTCACTAATAATTAAAAACTGTTCTGATAGCATAAGTTTCTGCACAAAACCTGTGCAGATGCCCACTTTACATGTTTCTTCTACAAAATCACTTGACTTTTTCTCCTTTCTAACATATTGCAGAAAACATGAAGACACTAAACATGCTCTGAATCCCTATAAAACAAAACATACTAGAAACTGTCATATATAAAATAGCCCTCGAACAATAGAGGAATAAACTACATTACATTTTGCACCTTCGCCACGGAAGACCCTGAACTCACCGTGTGTTATAGCGCACAATAAACTTATTACTGTTTACCAACGTTACAAGAACCGATGGACCGAATGGTATAACTTCACTCATCTGGTGTATATAATTCGATTAAATTCCGAGAGTCGGCCATCGACCCACAAAGGCAGAAGCCTCA